TTCCTTGACAGCCCCTCCGTCCTGCATCACTGACAATGGGGAGCCACGCCGGGAAATCTGGATGAACTTTCTCGGCCAATGCAGTAGCAGAGATCGAACACCCGACCTCCAGGCTACCGAGCCAGCGTCTTACCCACTTAGCCACCGTGACCGCCAGGTGCAGAAAAGAGGACGGTAAACCCCATTTCATTCATTTAATAACAACCCTGTCCAGGTTTTGCCTCATAGTTGTGACGAGTCACACTTTCGATGTACATAGTGTAAGATCACTCTATTCGGAACATCCGAAACCACTTTATGAATAAACCTCTATCGTGTGTAAGCAGCTATTAGTATTGAATAGATCTTGACATTCAGATTAACCGCGACACGGTAGTGCCATATTCTTGTACCATCCCGCTCTCCTCCCTCGATTTATGTTTCGTTTCGCCGTTGCTTCACTATAGGCCTATATTATTATGCAGAAGATATACTCTAACCAGGTAGGGAGCCACGGTGGATCAGTGAGTAAGACGTTGGCTCGCTATCCTGGCGTTCCTGTGTTCGATCCCTGCGTTGGTCCGGAAAGTTCATCGGGATTGTCCGGCGTGGTTCCCACTGTCAGGGATGCAGGACAAAGGGCCTTGCAAGTGACAACATATAGTCGTTCGGATGAGATGAAAAACCGAGGTCCCGTGTACATAAAAGATCCCTAGACAGTTGGAATTCGGTGTACGAGTAGGCCGGCAGGGCAAAATTTCCCTCATAGCACACTGTTTGGCGTATGCCCGTCTTCATTAGTACAGTCGGAGCAGGACAGTAGGACCCTAAACCCCGATTTCTTTTCATTTCATTTCATTTCATTTCTAACCAGGTAGACCAATTTTAAAATGACCTTAGAGACTCCGACAGTCAAGTTTTCATTATTTCATACGTTTCTATTTGTCAATATACGATCTCACACTACTGTAGTCATGGTCGTTGATGCCAATTTACTCCGATTGCTTCGCATTATAGGGATAAAGATCGAAAACACTATTATTCTTCAGTAACTAAGCCCAGATTCCAAGAGCAAGTAGTTGGAATAAGTGAAGCTATGCACTTTAATTAAACTCAAGATTCTGCCTCTTCATTTCAAGAGTGAAATTGGAGGTGGGTATTCGAAACCAAGTCTTTAACTCTGACAGAATAGGGAGTCTTGATGATCACAACATATTAATAAGTAGCCGTCAAAAATAGTGGAGTACTATTATCAACTCGAGGTCGATTATTCCTCGTTAAATATGTCGCATTTCTTCTTCAATATGAAAACCTGGCTCTCATCATGCAGTCAAATAATGATTTTATTGTTTCCAGGGGATAATAACGTTCAACGTTCATCGGTGATATCACTCCTCTGGGAGACTGACAGCTGGAGAACAATTACCCTCCAGTTATTCCCCCTTAATGAACTTCTCCCGTCATTTCTGCTACCCCTTCTATTGCTGGTTTGGGGTAGACTAATCATGGCAGTTTAATGACGCCGTTTTCGCGACAAATGAGTAACAAATTTGACATGTTCTCACAATTAACGAATGACAGAAATTAAACTAGAGCAGACGCATATTACGTTGGTTCAAATCAAATAGTAATGGTCCGTAGATTAAGTAATTTGTGATGATACAGATTGGATGATACAATAATATATTCTGCCCATGCTCAATTTACAAGCACTGAAATCGGTTAAAACCTACTATTAGGAACCTGTTTGGATTTGGTTCTTCGTACTGAGAATATTGTATTGATGATAAAATAATGTTCTCTATTCAAAAGTACGCCTTTATGTTACATTTCAGGGAGCAGCGGTGGCTCAGTTAGTATGTCGCTGGCTCACTGACCAGGATGGCCATAGGTTCGAACCAAGTGTTCCCCGGGATTTTCCAGTGAGGTACGTAAAAGAACCCTTGACAGTTGGAATTTTAATTGTTGTCCATGTAAATTTTCTTTCATGGCACACTATATGGCGATAGTAGTATTTTTTAAAGTCAAATGTTTAAAATGTGTTAAATTTAAACTTAAAACACAATGAATCTATACACAGCCCTGGCTTGTTAAAGAGTGATCCTAATAATCCTATTTAACATCAACGTTGGGCTTTGAATTCCATAGAGCGTATATAAAAAAACAATGGAGGCACTTTTGCTGTTATTTCCGATTTCCGGTGTTATTATTATGTGAAGTGCCAGAATGATACATAATTATGATCGTATAAAATTGATTTGACAACTTATTAAGCAATAGATAGAGATATAATTATGTTTTGACTTTCTTAGAAATATGCAACTATCGCTTTAATAAGGGGTAGGGCTTGAACGTAGGTGCCTATTGTATATGACCTATCCCCAAAAAAGGTGTTTTCACATGTGCATTTAACTAACCATGCTATTAATCTGTGGAATTCGTGAAATGGAATAATGTAACCTTGGTTTTCGGCTTTGGTTGTACGGTTTCCAGTAGCGATGGTCGATGCTTGTAAGGCTTCATTCGTTTGTGATATTGTTGTTATTATCGGGATTCTGCTTTAGCATCATCTAATTTTAATTTGTATCTAGACGCAAACTGTATACTTCGTTTGGTCAGAAAGCGATAAAGCCACATATAATTCCATCGTTGGGTTATATACTTGTTTCAAGACTCGGGTGTAGAGTAAAAATAAAGAGGGCCCAGTCGTACACCAATATCGTGACGTTTTCTTCAGAGTTCGATTGGTCGATAGGTACAGTTTGCCAGTTTAAAAATAATATTTTATCCACTGTAGTGCTACTCAGATGGTACCACAATACTTTCTATATTGTATTAAATGCTAAATGCTAAATGTTTTGTCACCAAATTTGTCTTGTGGGTAGCTTAAAGGAGCTAAATCGCTAATATTTGGGACCTAGACATTGACACAAATGGGTCGCAACGCATATAATAATGTAATGTGAATGTATATAAACTGATTTACATTCAACCGTTTTTGTTTTTACTGTAATTTCTAATCAGTTATGTTCGGCGAAATACGCCAGAAGTACCAATTTATTGGCAATCTTTAGCGATGATATTTATTGCACATGCTCTCCAGATAAGAACATAGCGTCACCATTTGACATGACTTGTGGAATATTTCTAGCTGCGTTTTTTGAGTACCTTGTTCCAAATGGTGCTGAAACGCATTATGGTACACGATTCGTGTACAATGGTAAAATGTGTATTTTGTCTTAAATATTGGATATCAGAAGCCCATCTTTTCCCTGTAAGATCGCAAGACCAATGTTGATTTGAATTGACAAATAATTCGTGTTTTCAATGTCGAAGATTTTTGATGATATTGAGTTAGAGACTTAGCTACTTTAAAGGGAAGAGATTTCTGAAACCAAACTTGTCAGATATTAGGAAAAATATACCTATCTGATTTAAACGCAGATCTAATTTCGTTTCAATTTTTTATAATTTAAATTCCGTTTATTGGTCGTCAAATAAAAGATTAGCCAATGAAATGACCCCATCTGGGGGTTTTCGGCGAGGATTGCGCTGAATTATGGGAAACAGAACAAGACAAACATGTTAAATATAAACAGTTTATGTCTTTCAGTCAAGGACCCCTGACCTGCTTGGTATATTTGGCCACCGAAAGCATAAATCAGACCGAATGTATATCTGTATTAAAATCATATCAGCCACACCGTACAAAATATGTGTTCCAAACGAATAATTCATACTAAACTGCCATAAAGATAATTTGGCAGAGATCGCAGTTACATAAATACTTTACAATTGTTGATAATTGTAAAACTTAACTTTTTTTCCCGGAAACTCTATAGTTATTCCCACTTATGTGTTTTTGTATAACATGTTCTTTTCTTGTCTTATTATATTACGTTAATTTTTATTTTTGAAACAAAGAAGAAAGCGCTCGTGTTCAAAATTGATATTTTTTCTCCTTTCTATAAAACAATTAATAGATAGATTGTCAGCAAAACCACGCAAACTGTTTCTTTTAAGGCTGCCATCTTGGGGCAAAACCACATTATAGATTCTTAAACAAATGTTACGCATTCCATTTGAAAGCTGTCAGCTAAAATAATTGAATTGTTATCGAGATCCTATTCGGTATGCATGACAGGCTCGTTTTATTGTAAATTAATATTTTATGTTTAATTCCGATAAGAACACCGAGTAATGCATCTTTAATAACCTGGGAATATTTTGAATTACAAAATGTGAAAAAGGATTTCCATTGAAGTGAACGCGTTAGCTTCGTAATATCCGATATTCTAGAACGGGTAAACATATTTGTCCTCGCGCAAGTATCCAGTACGCCTATAACCACGAGCTCTTGTCTGTGAACTTGGTTGGGTTGAGTGTGACTATTAATTAGCTATAGTTATTTTTTTTTATATATAAACTTTTTCAAGTCTTTCCAAATTTCCGCGTACATAACTGGAAAGAAATAAAATGGGGTTTAGCGTCCTATTTTTCTACACCAATCGGGCTAATGAAGACACTCATTTGTATAACATTGTAAGATTTACGTCGCAATGGGTTTCATACACAGAGCTGTATTAAGATTAAAATATACCAATAATATGTAACACTTATAAATGACTCGCGGTTGACCCGGCGTAGCACGGGTAAGCCTATAGCCATGAACCGGAAGTAGCATAACTCCGAAACCGGAACCGGTAGTCCATCGCTACCAGGCCTGTGTTACTCGTCGGTCCGAGCTATCCCTAAACACCAAATGTCAGCCCCGGGACAGCCTTAGTGTAACCACCAACCCTGAACAGACAGACACAAATAATAGTATAGATGTGTGCAGTGACTCCCAATATATGCCCACTCATGACGTCCATTTCTTATCGATCATTTTACTGTTTGTTAAGGAAGGGGTTGCTTTTAAATCTAATAAAATATTCAAATATCTCACTGTTGTTATTGTAACATTACTGCTTCTCGAAACTGCTATTTTTTTAATTCAATAAATGAAAAATATAACAAACTTGTACACAAAACACAACGTTTTATCAATAAACAAAATATATATCTTCATACACAATATATATTTATAGATGGGAAAGTTCATTGTATAGTTCAAGGTCATGACGGGGGTGATCTAAAGGGCAAATCTGGCGCGAAATAATTTGAATGAACGGCTGGAATGGCTCGTCTATAAGTTCCGTCTCTGTTTCGTTCTATGGCCGTATAGCTACTACTTGATCTACGGCTAGAACGACTACGATTACTACTTCTAGAATGTCTTCTTGGAGTCGTATCTTCATAATCACTATTCTCATGATATGTGATATAGGACGTTGCGTGCCGTATAGGTCGCAACTGTAATGTCTGGGCATTATTTGAGTCACTATAATAAGATCCATATGCAGTTTCACCACAATTACAAGTGCACACTGAAGTTGTCTCCCTTCGACGCCTGTCGTCCATATTGGAATCTGAGTCTATATATTCATATATTGGAGATCTATCGCTGTATTGGCTTGCACCACTAGAGGGCGTGTAATCACCGTCCGGTAATTTTCTATAGTTTGTAAAACTGTTGCTAACCGGAAGTTGCAAATCTCGGACCTGCGCCACGTGTGCATATCGTCTGTCATCTGGATGTAGAGCATAGGGCGAAATTGGAGGGTAGTAATGTTGCAATAATCTAGTTTCAGTTTTATTTCCTCTTACACTTGTCTGAAATAGAAGTAAGGGCAATAACATTAAATATCAGGATCACACAACGATAAAGATATACATAATGGAAAACAGCCATTTAATTATTAATGATTATTATTAATGTAAACCGGGCTACACGGGTATATCACCAAGTTGTGCAATAGTAGGATGGGTTAGATTTGCAAACCATGCAAGAGAACACGACCAATCGAGTTGATTAGGAAGTCCATTATTCGTGCATAGTTTGGATTTGGAGGGGGGGTGGATTTAACCAAAGACATCCATGGGAACCCCTTTTGTTTAGCAATAGAAGGTCGAACAGGTGTTTTAGATGTTCAAACGGTTAGTTGTCTAAGGTAACGTTGGCGATGCTCTTTAAACCGTGTCTTCAAAATGAATGCCTGGAACGCCCACATCCCACATGCACCACGTTACCTTGTACTTAACGTGACCCATGAAATGTAACTCGGAGATAGAATAAAAATTCCCTTTAATACATTGTAACCATTAGACCGCCTATTAGGAAATACATGACGACATGGCCAATAGATCAAAGTAAAAATATCGACCAAAATAGTATTATTACTGCTTCCACGATTCTAAAATTGTTTGTTTGAAACATGAGGAATTGGATTGAATGCTATTTCATGATAAAAACAGACTTAATTTATCCGCATTTGGAACCTTAACATTACACATGGAAACGCGGTTTAAAAAAAACACCCCTTAAATTCTGTTTGAAAATTACACACTGTTGCATGAAAGTACAAGCAATAAAACGTTTCGTTCAATTTAAATCGAATCAGTCTCGTAGAAAAAATCCAAATTGATCATGAAAAGCAAAAAGTTTGCAGTTGTCTAAATAAAGTCGAATATACAAGGTCGGTTCATCATGCAATTATTAACATATAGTTTCTGTGGGATTGGATGAGATGTTCGCGTGAGTGATGGCTTCTATACAAGATCACAATAACTAGATTCGATACTATGGGAGGGAAATGTCATTTACTTAATGAAATAATGGTGTACTAATCTAAGCGAATCTACCATATTGCGTTCAGTAATTGTATCTGTACATACGTACTCTCCAACCACAATATTTGTACTATTTAGATAAATTAAAGAACAAATTATAATATACCCATTTTGACAAAATAAATATGATTAATATCAGTTCGTATTCAAAACACAATTTTCAGAAACCATTATGAAATGGTATACCTAATGAATTAAAGTCGCCGATCCCAGTCTTGCTATTTTCGAACCATATTAAATGTTTCTCAAATTGATTATTTAACATTTAATTCAGAAAACAAAACCCTAATAGCAATGCCGGATACTCTCCCTGCATGGCGGTAGTACGTGACAAAGAGTAGGGTTTTCTCCGGGTCCTCCCGTTTCCTCCCACTGCTAAAGACCCCAACACGCTAGCGAATCATTGAAATAAAATTGAACCATATGTTAGTCCCGAAATGACCTAGTTTGTTTCCAGTGGACGTTAAACCCCATTTCCCCCTCTCTTTCTCTTTCACTGCGTGGATTCAATAGAATTAAAAAGAAGCCCATCAAAAGGTGGGGTTGGCTTTGCTTATATCGTCTGTATGCAGAGGATGATGAATGTTGCAAACACTGAACGGAAGTGGATCATTGAAAAGTCTAAAAATTAGGGCCAACTGCAGATTTCGTTAAGGTCGCAGGATGTTAACAGGGTTAGGGCACGTGATTGTTGACGAGATTTTGAGTTAGGGTAAGGGTAATGGTAAGGGTTAAGTGCACATAAATCAATTAAACCTTTCAAAATAACATCAAAAAATAACACGTTTTCATTGTACATGGAATTCCTGAATGACTTGTAACAGGTTGGGGCAGATTATGGAGAAGAACAGTGGGCTTTATTCAACACAAACTATTTCGGGAAAAATTAACCTACAGTATAACTTTATTTCATTAATATTCACGCAGGGATCTTTAGCATTGGAAGGAATTTAGATTTATACCATCCCAACCTCCGCCGATAATGTAATTGCGTGATCCACGTTTCGCTTTAATGAACTGTACACGAAATATATGTTTTTCTAGTTGCAGGATTAGTTTGATGAATGTATTGCTCTCGCTAACGCTTAAAATTTCGAGCCTGCTTTTACTGCGCACTAATATATAGAGAGAGAAATGGTGTTTAACGTCCACTCGACACAAACTAGGTCATTTCGGGACTAACATATGGTTTAATTTTATTTCAATAATTCGCTTGCGCATAGGGGTTTTTAGCAGTGGAAGGAAACCGGAGGACCTGGAGAAAACCCACGAGACTGAACAGGCGACCATACTCCTTGTCACGTACAACCGGGGAACCGAAACCACGGCAGTTGACTCAACGACAGACCTAATGATACAACGCATACACGCTAACCATTCGGCCATCTTCAACGGGTCTTAAAGATGAATTATGAAAGATTTAGATAAAGAGATGACATTCTTGCTATAACAGTTCAAAAATAGATAATGAAAAATAAATGTATTGAAAACTTCATTCAAATCCACGTTGAATGCCTATTATCGTAGCAACGGTACTGAACAAACCAGACTAAATCTCGATTATCGGTTTTATCGTTAAATTTTTAAATCTCGCGGTTCTTTTAATCCATTTAAATCTTTGTCATTGATAGCACAGAGAGTTCATTATGGGCTTATGTGAATAAATATCTAATTAATCAGAGTTATATAACATTTGAAGCCAAGCGAAACACCTGCAACATGCAGATCTAGCTCTTACATAATGCATCTTTAAATAAATATGTGAACCGGCAGTGTGAAGTTAGGTCGATATTCGTTTTTCATTATTAATTCAAACTTTCGTTATTCGCCAATATCGAAAGCAAAGGGAAAAGTAGTTTGTTGTGAATCCACTACTCAGGCATCTTCCTTTTAGATCTCTAAGTTCTTCTCCCATACTGAAAACGAGTTACCTGTTTTTCATTAATCACCAATATCGAAAAACGAATATCGATATCGAAAAATGAGCTGCTTGATTTTCGTTATTCGCCAATATCGAAAAATGAATATCGAGCTAACTTCACACTTCCATGTGAAACACCCACAGACAACATTTTAATGGTAAAAAAAGTACGTTACCTCTGATTGTCTTGAGTAAACCGATGGAGGTGAATAATGACATGTTGAATAATACTTGGGCTCAGCACCAGGATTCAGCGCCGTCTGGTGGTTAGGACTAGAACGAGGCTTCTCAGACGATTTCCTGGAATTAAAAAGTAAAAAAAAACATCGTTTAATTTCTCAATGAAATGTTTAAAGTAGGGTAACTTTATCATGCCCCATTATTGCCCATTTTGTTTTTTATGGCTAGCTTTCTAATATGGTAAGATCAAATCAACCAGAATAGAAGCAAATAATACATGTATGATATGAAGAGAGGTAAGGTTTCATTGACATGAACAGATATCCTGTTAAAGATGCATTATGTAAGATTTAGTTTAAAAATAGATAATGCAAAATTGATATATTGACAATTTCAGCCAAATTACTTTATTCTGAGCGAAATTATGAATGTTTAAAGCTTGACAAGAGAGAAATGGTCTAAATTGTCTCGATTGTCAAGTACCATTGCTACAATAATAAATGAAGTCTTAATTTCCAATCCTTCAATGGGTAGTATCTGAGAGTGGCTGACATTTCTAATCCACCCACACTCAATGTGGACTTGCCATGTGAATAAATGTGTAAATAAAAGTTCGTACGTTTGAAGCCAGAAAAAAGACCTGAAATAGGCAGATTTAGCTGTTGCATAATGCATCTTTAAACACAATGATGGCGTATATAATAGGATATTGTTCGTGTTGGCAAAGTAAGAGTCATAGTTCATTTTTGTGAATCACAGATAATTAACAATACTTTTTAGGCTGAAATAAAATAAAAATAGAGAAAATAATAGACAAATTCTCTAAAAGCACACGAGAAATCGTTTGTGGTGGAAGAATTTTATTTATTAATGCATGGCGTGACAGAACCCTGACAGCGTGACATGGCGAGACAACCTGTGTTTAAATTCTACATTTAATTGGAGACAAAAACTGATGTAATTAATTGCTGACCGGGCAATTTCGGAATACCAACAAAATTATAGAATAGCTAATGAGATGTTTTTTATCATTCCTTTTCCTTTCCTAGTTGATGACCTTGTAAGGTAACCTTTAGAATAATTAAAAATGTTACACACAAATTAAACCAGATGGTCTCATATTATGGCTTCCGTGTCCCATCAACGCTAAAGTGTTTTATCATCATTTGAAAGAAAAGGGGGGGGGGGGAGTTTAACGTCTCTTCAACGCATTACTTCAGTCATTTCGAGACTAACATACAGTTATATTCGTGTATATAATCACGTGGGCAATGCTACGAGAGACATTTTGCTCGAGCAATGGCGTTTCTGAATCAAATTCCAACAGCCAAGCTTTTTGTTATACGCGTACCATCCAAACGACTAGACAATACCTCACTGATCTCTGACAAGAATTGGAACCGGGGTTTAAGATCTCCAAATTCTTCCCGAAACATAACGGGATTGGAATCTGGGATATTCTAGTCGAAAGTTCCAGTGCCTTACCTCCCCCCCTCACCCCACCCCCGTTTAATAAAGGTGAGGTGGCATAATCGAGTAAAATATATCCTATCTCGGGCACAACACCCGTTAATGGACCCAGAAACCGAAACAACTACAAATAATGTGCAGCTATCAACAAGTATAACGAATGCATATGTGTACTTTTTAGATTTTCAGTAGATGACTCAATTAGATGGATGTTCGCGCCGCCAATGTCTATTATTTTAGAAGTTTGAAAGAAGTCGGAAAGGGTTAGTTTTTTGTCCAATCAACCTCAAAGGTCAATGAAATCTTCAACCACTTTTACTATTCAACTAATCGCAATGAAGTACCCTTGATGTCAATCAAATATTCCATTTAATTTGTTCAATATCCAATTAAAGACGTAAAAAAGGAAGAATATATAAATCTAAGTAAGTCCTAATCATATTCTAGAGACAATTATTTATCACAAAAAAAAATTCCAGCCCGAGGCAATCAGCAAAAAATTACAGGTTCCCCCAAGATTCACTTAAAGACAACTCGTCGTCGGTTAATTATTGGAACACGCAATGTCTGTCTTCTTAAAAGACTTCAGGACAGCCAGAAACTAATGAAAACTTCACATCTTTCTCGCTGTTTTAATTTCGCGAAATGAACGGGACTAAAGCCTCTATTGACAAGATTAGTTATTTTTTTCCGAGCTACTTATTTTTCTCTGCGCTACTTAACATGTCATGGACTTGACAGTAGCTTAAGTTTCGTCACCAATTGCGGCGATTGAACAACCCTCAATCATTTACACATTGTCATGCTTATTTAAGATTTTTTCTTTTAAAAGAAACGAGGTTTAATCAATAGTTTTAAAGTAAAGATACGAGAGATAGAGATAGAGGGAGAGAGAGAGATTGTTATGTCATTAATTCGCTTTGGGTCTTTAGCAGTGGGAGGAAATAGAAGAACTCGGAGAAAGACGATGAAGTTAAGGAAGCGATCCTACCCCTTGTCACCCACAAATGTCGAATCAACACCACAAGATTTTCCATAATATTCGAAATTAAAAACACGAATTGGAATTCAATATTGGTCCATTTCAATTAATATGGGATCTTAATATCTAATATTTAAGACACAGGGGATATTTTATTAACAGTACACGAGTCTTGTATTCTAAAGTTTCGGGCGCCATTTGTATTGAGCAAAGAAAAACACCTCCTACAAGACAATGCGGAAGTAATTAGTAATGGCTGATTCACAAACGACAAAATAATAATGAAAATACGTGTAGTCTGGAATCCAGTTCACATATTTCATCGAACATAATTGATTATACATAACAATATTATTTTTTTAAAAATTGAATATGAATCACTTTATATATATTCATATTACATTAATATACGTTTTTAGACCCATTTCCGTCTATTTTAGGTTGCAAAGAATAGAGCCATACGCCCTTTAACGTCTTTTCTTTCTACACCCTACAGGTTAATAAAGAAAGGCATACACCATACATTGTGATAAGGAGAGATGTTCAAAGGGCACCGACGATTTACAATTCTCCAAGATTCTTTGATGTGATGTCATTGGTATACATGAGACCTTAGTTTTTCGCCCCGACTGACGGACTAGACGCTTTTACTTGCCCAGCATTCTGTCTTGTACTACTGTCAAGGGTAACCAGGCTGAGAAATGGGATCGAATTTGGGACCTCCTATCTAGTCAGCCAGGGCCATGCCCACCAAGCCACCCTGGTTCGTGTATCGATCTCAATTTATATTTACAGTCTATTTCCTGCCTAGTGTACAATGCCAGCCATTCTAAGATTTACATTTGTTTTAGATAAAATCACGTTGTTAGGTGACGACGTTTTAAGACGCTGGCTCGCTATAGCCAGGAGGCCGGGTCTTCTTTCCCTGCATTGGCCGAGAAAGTTCATCAAGATTTTCCAGCGTGGTTCCCCCTTGTCAGTGATGCAGGACGGAGGGCCTGACAAGGACAGCTGTCTTATCGTTAGGATGGGACAAAAACCGAGGTCCCGTGTACACATTAGCGTACACGTAAAAGATCCCTTGACACTTGGAATTCGATATAAGAGTAGGCCGTAGTGCCGCTGTTCAGGCAAAATTTCCCTCATAGCACACTGTATGGCGTATGCCCGTCTTCATTAGCCCAGTTCGGAGCAGAACAGTAGCACGTTAAACCCCATTTCATTTCAATTATAAACTCAAACTAACATTTATTAGAGTTCCAGTAGAGAGAAGCAGTACGACCTACCAAGCCCTACATACCTCATGTATCCCACCATTGATGTATATAATTTGTAAGATGAGTTAACTATGTTGATAAGTAAATGATATGTGTTTATATTGATATTAAACAAACTGACATGTAATTATAGTGGTAGCAGTAGGAGAGTAAATTGTGGTCGTACAATGACTATATGTTTTATCCCTAGGACCTATTTAATTAATACATCAGCCTAACCTATTACTTAGTCTTCTCTAACAAAGACCAAGTCCTCTCTCTGACAACCATAATTAGCACTATTCATCTTCCAAATATATTATAAAATATAGAGATAACTTGTCAATGTAGCGGAGCAGATTGGATAAAATGAGGATCCGGATTGAGCTTTTAGGGTAATATTTGGAGACTAGCAAGATCTGAGATCTTGTGGGTTAATTTGGGGTGGAGGTGTGCAGGAAGGTATAGACGTTTCATGGAATCGTCTCAGCTGAGACCAATAGGTTATATTTTCCTTTTATGACAGCTGATTGGACCCTGGCGAATTAAACCTCTCATAATTCTCGGAGAAGAAATGAAAAAGAAAGGAATTGGCGTTTAGCGTCCTGCTATTCAGCTTCTGCTGGACTAATGAAGACGGGCATACGCCATACAGTGTGCTATGAGGGAACATTTACCCGGACAGATCAATGTGAACACGGGACCTCGGGTTATCATCCAACCCTCCGTCCTGCACCGCTGACAAGAATGAAACACGAGGAAACATCCCAATGATCTTTCTCAGCCAACACCGGGATGGAATACGGATTAGCGAGGCACCGTCTTACTCAATCAGCCTCCGCGGCTCCATCTGGGAGAAGAATGTTCAGTATTATTAATGAAAATAAAGAATTTAGATCAATTATTGTTAATATTGTTAGAGATTAAACGTCTCGTTTATTCTGAAATCCATAATAATTGTTCCAGTTAGATATAAGCAATAGAATACACGATACCGCTTATCATTTCACATAGCTAATCAATTTGTCTTGTTCTGTTCTATTTGAGATCTAGATAGACAATAATTCATGAACTCTATGAAGACCCAGTGGGAAGGTTGCCTGTTACGTTGTTAAGTTCGGTGGATCATCCACCAGTGGCAGTAAATGGTTATTGCAAACTACTAAACTAAAATCAAACTTCAAGCTGACAGGTTATTAGGATAATAAAAAAAACACGACTGGATTGGCTGGCATTCCTTATGATTGGCTGCCATTCCTTATGGCCAATCGTGATCACTTAAACTTACTTATCAGTACCATGCATCAAACTTAGAAAAAAAGACCATTTCTGTTCTCTGTCAATAATTCAATAAAGCAAAAAAACGCAAAATAAACAGCCTTTATTGACTGTAGATTGATAGTTGATATAAT